AGGCCAGGCTGGAGACAGGTCACACAGGCCAGAGGTGCCGAGGCGATGGGCCGTCGGGCTGGAGGGCACAGGGCGTGGCTTCAGTGTTTGAGCAGAGGCTGGCCGGCCGGCCCGGGAGACACGCTGTTCGACTTTGTCCCCGTGTTCCTCTGCTCGGCACCACAACAGAGGACCCCGGGGCCGGCGGCCTGGACAGCAGGCAGCTCCTTCTTCACGGCCGGAGGCCCGAAGTCCGAGCCCCGAGAGTCAGCGGCCTGGTGTCTCCGGAGCCTCTCCGTGGCTTGCAGGCGGCGACCTTGCTGCCCTCCCACATCCCCGGGGTCTCTGTGAGTCCGATCCCCTCTTCTCCTAAGCACACCAGTCAGATTAGTCGGGGTCCACGCGGAAGACCTTTAATCTCGCCGCCGTCTCCTTGTCTCCAAGTCCGGCCACGGTCTGGGGCCGGGCTGGACCCCAGCGCACGGATCGGGGGACACTGCTCAGCCCCTGCAGTGCCCACGGGAGAACGTCCTTTCGCTTGTGAGTTGAACCTGTCTGGCTTTGTCGGGGACTCGACTACTTGGATTTTTTAAAACTCCAACGTGTCTGTTGCTGCACAAGCATTCCTTGGGCGTGCCCACGTGACTGACCGAGGGTGCCGGAGGGCCTGTCATGCTGTGCTGACCGCCTGCCTGTCCCTCCCGCTGTCCCCGGGCCCCAGCCTCAGCCCACTGGCCTGCCTGTGTCCAGCAGGCTCCGACCTGCTGCTGGGGGGCCTGGGCCTTAGCACTGGCTGTCGATTTGCTGGGACACTGTCCCCCGACCCCTGCACAGCTCACCGCGCCTTCCTTCAGCTCTCACTGTCCCATCGGCGGCTGCCTCCGGGCGCCCGTGTGGACCAGAGTCCGTTTCCCGTCCACCCTCCTGCGTCACCGTGTCCCTCCGACCTGCCGTCCACGTCTGTGTTCCGGGAGAGCCGGGACTTGGTGTCCGCCGCCGCCTCGGCCGCCTCAGGTCGCGGCTCGAGCTCAGCACGCGGTGTGACTAGTGATGAATGACTGATTCCCGGCCCGCTTGGCAAAGGTGCCGTAAACATGTTGTGTTTAAAGATTTTCATTTTCTTGGCTTGTCAAGACTCAAGCCGGGACCCAAGGGAGACACAGCCCAGTTCCCCCCGCCCCCCTCCCGCCCCCCACAGCCCTTTACGAAGCTGGGAGAGCTTTTCCAGAAACAGTGCCAGGAAGTCCAGTTCCACTGGCCAGCGCCGCTCATGGTGGAGCGTCGACCTGTGAACCAGGAGGTTACGATTTGATTCCTGGTCAGGGCACAGCCTGGGTTGCAGGCTCCGTCCCCACTGTGGGGCGTGCAGGAGGCAGCTGATCCATGAGTCTCTCTCATCATTGATGTTTCTCTCTCTCTCTCCCTCTCCCTCCTCTCTCTCTAAAAAAAAATCAATAAAAACATTAAAAAAAAAGTCTGGAGCAGAGGCAAGGGGGTCTGCCCGTCGTGTGTGGCGCTGAGTCCAGGCGTCTCCCTTGGCGAGTGACGTTTCCGTGAGCGGACGCCGCGCCCCCCGGGTCAGTCTCACCGGCCGCTCTCTCTCCTCCAGCCCCTCGCAGCGGGCCGGCGCCGCCGGGCAGGATGGTGGACACCGAGAGCCCGATCTGCGCCCTCTTCCCCCTCGAGGCCGACGACCTGGAGAGCCCGCTCTCGGAAGAGTTCCTGCAGGAAATGGGCAGCATCCAGGACATGTCCCAGTCCCTCGGGGAGGACAGCTCCGGGAGCTTCAGCTTCACCGACTACCAGTACCTAGGCAGCGGCCCCGGGTCCGAGGGCTCCGTCATCACGGGTGAGTGTGCGGCCCCGGGAGCGCCTGTTTCTCCGCCGAGAAAAGGTGCTTTTGGGGGTGGGGGTGGGGGGGTGTCACATCTCCTGCCGCGACAGTGACATCCTTCATGCGACGGCTGTAGCCCTGCTTTTGCCCCTCCTGTATTCCCTGAGAACAGACACCCCTAGTATGATAAAAATGGCTCCTTTTCAAAAATATATATTTTTTTATTGATTTCAGAGAGGAAGGGAGAGAGAGAAACATCAATGGTGAGAGAGAATCATGGATCGGCTGCCTCCTGCACGCCCCCCACTGGGGATGGAGCCCGAAACCCGGGCTGTGCCCTGACCGGGAATTGAACTGTGACCTCCCGGTTCCTAGGTCGACACTGAGCCACGCCGGCCGGGCTGCTCCTTTTTAAACCTGGACGGGTACATGAGCCAGCTCCCGCTTCCTGCATCAAGAGCGACAGGGCTCCCGGCCAGCATGACTCAGTGGTTAGAGTGTGCCCTGCGGGCTGAGGAGTCAGGGGCTGAATTCCTGGTCAAGGGCACATGCCTGGGTTGCACATTTAATCCCCATCCCTGGTCTGGGCGTGTGCGGGAGGCAGTCATCAGTGTGTGTTTGTCACATGGATCTCTCTCTCTCTCTCTCTCTCTCCCCCCCCTTCCTCCCTCCCTCCCCCTGCCCTCCCTCTTCCTTCCACTCTTTCTAAAAATCAGTGGAAAAAATGCCCTCCCTCCTTGGCTGAGGACTAACAACCACAATAGAAGCAGAACCCGGGTCTGTCCGGGGGCCTGCGTGTTTGCGGGCAGGGACCTGGGGAAACGCCTCGTTCCGTAGAAAGCAGAGCGGCCACCCCAGCCCGTGCTGTGAGCAGCTGCTGGTTTGTCGGGGCCGTCGGGCTGGGCTGGCACGGGCTCCCTGAGGAAGTGATCTTGGGTGGGGGCTGGAGCAGGGGGGTGAGGAGCAGCGAGGAGCAGCTGTGGCTGGGAGCGGGTCTGGGTGCGGTTCCCGCCTGAGCGGGGGACACGGGGCCTGGGGGAGTCGCGAGAAGGGTCTCCGTGGCCACGTCTGGGGAGGGTCTCAGGCCCTTTCCCTCCCCGGCTCCTCTCTGCTGAGTTCTTGGCCTGGAGCACGCTCCCCAACGGTCTCTTCTCGCTCATTCCCGCTCCTGGAAGGTGGTTTCCGTGACCTTACACGGCGGGAAGTGCTATTTGCGGGGAAGAACTGCGAGCAGACGGCAG